TGGGCACAGCGTACATTAGCTACAGCAGTCAGCGCGAACGGAATCTAACAAAGGGCAATGGATTTTGTCCTGGTTCTGAACACGGTAATGACATTGCTGAGCCCGTAGAACACATTTACCCCGCACATCGAGCCCTCGATATTTCAACGATATTTCGGTGCCAACCAGAACAGACGCTTATTCATAGGATACGTGCTTCTATACGTACTGCGCGTATTGCTGGGTGATTTTTAGCGCAATATTTATCCGAATCTACAGTTAGATCGTCGCCGTCGCCCGGGCTGCTCGCGAGGAACTGTTATTCTACAAGGTTGAAGCACGTATATAGCCATGGGAAAACAGGACAACGATACAGGTAGGCAGATCGGTAGGCGACGCCGCTACTTATGGCATTGACTTCGCCAGTGTCATCATCATAGTTGTCATTGTCATCATCATCGTCATCACCATCATCGTCACCTTTAGGCTCACCATTATCGTCAGCTGTATTAATGCCGTCTGTTATGCATTGCAATTATAAGTATTTATGTATATATGGTGCACTGTAGATACGTCATATGGCAGTACCGAATCACCTGACGAGACTGAATGCATGCAGAATATACTATATTTAAGGAGCGAGTGAAGACAGATTATCTGTCATCATCTTTCCATATTCACCCTCGATGATATTCTGCGAGATCGCGAATTTATGCACGTAAGATTCGCACACTGTTCGCATGAAGGCGATGTAAGCAGTTGTGACGCACCACGATTTTTAACATGCAAGATGTATAGGTTTTTGAGCAAACGTAGTCATCGCTCTTTGACGCCAAGTAGCATATTCCTCTAGGCACTGTACGACAGACACATGCTGTATGATAATACAACTGGTATTATAACTATTTGCTGTACACGTTACTGATGTTTTTTGCTAGAAGGGCAATGGGAATGAGGTCCAATCAATCATCCACCCTTCCGTAGTAAACGGGCGGGAGACAGACGACAAATGCTACTTCTTACCTCGACGACATCAAAGACAAAAATAACGAATTTTAGATTACTTACCCACTGTTTATATAATAGGATTGGCGCGTGGTATGATTAACGAAATCAGTGTGTATTAACTACGCAACGCGGCAATATGTTTGGCAAATCTCGACGCAATCCGCATCATTTATTTTACTGAAGAAAAGTGTAAAACACAATTATGCAATCGTGCTCTGAATAAAGCCAAAGGCTAGGTGGTCGTTTTATGGACATTCCGGTCTCAGCGAATCNGGCGGATGGCTCGCCAAGAAGTACGGGCCGCGATGGACGTACGCGGGGTTTCAATTCTCTGGCGCCGTGTTGACGATGCTCTGTCCTCTCGCCACGCGGCAAGACTGGAGGGCGCTGCTCGCGATGCGGTTTCTCATTGGCCTTTGCGGAGTAATTAGAATTAGTCGATGATCGATTGATTGAATGTTCGATAGGCTGCACTGCAATTTTCTGAAATCGGTGCAGTTTTAAGGTATAAATATCGATATCCGTCGTTGCATAAAGAAAGGAAGAATTATTATTATTATTATTATTTTAGTCTGATAACAGGGCCGCTTTTGCTTAGAATAAATGTAGCATATGATCGATTTTTAATGTGTTTTATATGTGTACGTGCACCTAGTTCCAAATTGATCTAATTTAATGATTGACGGCATAAATTTTCGTTTGTATTTAGTAGCAAGCATGTTTCTTTGTGTCTAGGGTGCAGCGTGGCCGTGCTTTAGTGGCTTAATGGGCACCTGGGCGCCTCCCAACGAGAGAAGCAGTCTAGTGTCTTTCGGAGCGGCAGGCATTCATATCGGCATAGTACTTGTTCTCCCCATCGGCAGCAGCCTCTGTCACAATGTCAGCTGGGATTCAATCTTCTACGTCATCGGTAGTAATACATCTTCTTTTAATGTATTGTGGAAGGTACAATGTAGTGTAATGTAATGTAATGTAATGTAATTTATTGTAATGCATTTCAATACAAGGTAATTGTAAAGGTAGCAGATTAATTTAAGTAATTTGAGTAATTTAACAGAGTAATTTAATGTAATACAAAGACAAATCGATCGTAAGCGAATGCAGTATAGGGAAATTCAACACAAGGTAGGGAACCCAATACGATCTGCTGTGATGTGATGTGATGTGATGTGATGTGATGTGATGTGATGTGATGTGATGTGATGTGATGTGATGTGATGTGATGTGATGTGATGTGATGTGATGTGATGTGATGTGATGTGATGTGATGCGATGCGATGCGATGCGATGCGATGCGATGCGATGCGATGCGANAGTTTAGATTTTTAACATTAATGATGCGATTGATACTACTGCCACACATGCGTATATATATATATATATATATATATATATATATATACGGTACATGTATGTACGTGTATACATACATATATATATATATATACATACATTTAGTAAGTATACGCTCAGGGCAGTGGTTTTCATGCAGCATTTCATGAAGCGTTGCTATTTGATAGGCAAGCTATATACGCGCTTCGTGTGCACGCGACACAGCATGATTCAACGCCCTGTCTCGCAGGTCTGTTCGGTACGGCCATCTTTCTGGTCATCGCCGGTTACATTGACTGTAAGAACGCCTGGCTTGCCGTACTGATGATGGTCATCGGAAATTTCTGCAATGGCTTCATATTCGGTGGTCTTGGAGTCGCCCATCTCGACGTGGCCCCGCGATTCGCATCCGTAATCTTCGGTGTTATGAACACGGTGGCGTGTTTCGGCAGCATAATGTCGCCTTATCTGATCGGCATCATAACCACAGACGTAAGTCCTTCTCACGTACGATGTCTTCATGGTGAGTGCGTAGATGCAGTGCCTTGATACTACTCTCTCGGTACACGTAATATCTCGTTACATTTCCACTCGGCTCTTTTTTGTGTCTGTTCGCCGCTGTTTGGGGGGGGGGACATATCTTTTAAGCGGAATTATGCGCATAAATATAATTGAGATAGTATCGCTGGAACAGAGTGATTCATCTGCACCAGCACTTTAAGGTGGATATATGTTTCCATGACACGGACTGATCGCGTGATGTCAGTGTACGTCAGTGGGACGTCAGTGGCTATCCACCACCATAGACCAATCACGCACGCACATCCATGTATGCATATATAGCATATCCATAATGCATCAAATCAATAACGCTGAATAGCCGCGCTCGTTCGCCGACGGCCGGTACTTGTTAAGGTCGTTGGTTCGAATCCGATCTGTTTATTATTTATTTTATTTTATTTTTTTATCTTTAACAATTTAACTATTTTTTCCCAATTAACGCAAATATTTACATGATTTATTTACAATTTTGCATTATTATTTTTTTAAATAAATTAAATTTATTAGTGTTAATTAAATTTAATTAGTGTTAGGGTTAGGGTTAGGTAGGGTTAGGGTTAGGGTTTTTGCATCATTCTTTGATATACGGAAAGTCTGATGCATGCGCAACCACCAGCACCATCAGCAGGCTGTATGCGTACATGCATTCAACATTGGAGATAGCCGAGTTCGTGCGTGACGTACACTGACGTCACGCGATCAGTCAGTGTCATGGAAACATATGCCCACCACAATTTAAGGTCATGACGTCACAAAAATGCGTATCCGTTTAACGCCAAACCTCGCTTGTTACAGCGCAAACGCCAGCTGCTGGTTGGACAAAGTTACTATAGAGCTTTAACTTTGTTGTAGGTGTTAGATGTTATTTGGCGGACGTGTGATGGCTATTTGTATTTTGGACTGTAAACATAGCAGTTACATGGTTACAGCGGTGGTATTGCTGTGTAATATAGTACATCATAGTGACTAAATAGGACAATATGTAACCCTACCTAACCCAGGTAAGACGATTTTTTTTTTTATTATTGTTTTGTAGCAAACTCAACAGCAGTGGCAAATCGTGTTCTACATCAACCTTGCGATTCAGTCGTCCGGCGCCATGTTGTTTGGAATCTTTATCCATTCGGACATACTTCCGTGGGCGGCGGTAGACGTTGACGATACCGTAACGCTAGCCAAGGAAGCACGGATTCACAACGGCTTATATAAACACAGCAACGACAATCCTACTCATCACCGTGTTCATCACGCTGCTGCCAATAACATTGAGATCACAAAGCTGTGATCATGAGTATTAGATTGATTTACGGAAAATTTAATACCTAGCATCTACATCTATATTAATTGTATGTATTAAATGTATTATAAGACTATTGTAATAATATACACAATGAAATGAATAAAAATTTATTCCTAAATTCCGTATTCTTTGTTGTTATATTGATATCGCTTATTCGAGAAAATAACGTGAGCATCCTTGAATTCTCCCGGAAGCCCTCTACTAACTATGATTCGGACATACTTCCGTGGGCAGCGGTAGACGTTGACGATACCGAAACGCTGGCAGAGGAATTACGAATATCCCACGAGTTATATAAGCACGCCCACGGCAACCCACTTCATCATCTATCATTTCATCACCACGGTCATCATGATTCTGAAAAACCTGTTTCGATGACGAAGCTGTGATCACCGCCAACCAAACCCCTGATGTGATGTGCTGTAATGTGATGTGATGTAATGTAATATTATGTAAGGCAATGCAATGCAAATGTCAAAGTCAATCCAAATACAAAGTCACGCAACCATCGCTTGATTTTGCAGGTGGTGCGGGTTGTCTCACGAGCTTGTGGTATCTGTATGTTGTTTATGACTCACCGGAGGAGCATCCACGTATTAGTGAGGTTGAGAGGAACTACATCAAGGGATCCTTAAAAGGACAAGTTCACACGCTGGAGAAAGCGGTGCATATCTACTCGTCGACTCTTCTAGCAAACTAATCAATCCACTTATACGATTCAACCTAACTATGTCTACTACCAATCTCTCCACTGACACTCTCTATCAATAGTAATGTGTCATCCATTTTTACTACTTCTAAATTCAATCTCTACTATTTCTATCATCCATAGCTCTACTAACTTTCTAATCTGCACATAATAGCTGCGCCATCTATCTCTAACATCATTCGCATCTGCTTCTACAATCTCTAGTATCCATGCAATTCTACTAGCGTTGGTATTCTAAAGAATTCGCGCGCTGAATAATTAGCGGATGACTCCGCGATGATTTACGTCGCTGTTACCGCTTCATCCAGCACAAGGAAATTCCGTGGAGCAAGATACTGACGTCACCGACAGTATGGCTGCTGATGTACACATTCATGACGTACGCGTGGGGCCTCTCTATGACACTCACCAACCTTCCTACGTTCATGTTCGAAGTTCTTAAGTATGACATGAAATCGGTGAGTATGAGCGGGAATAGGTCACGCATGTGTTCTCTAGTAAGAATCAGCAGAGAGCTAGAGTGCGCAAAGATATACGTGTAGTGAGTGCTTACTGACGACTAGTGCATAAATCTCGAGTGGTAACATTGTAACAATGTCTCTTACACTACCAAGCATCTCCTGCTATTTCAAAGTTTGATTAGGATTATTAATTAACCTGTTCATGTGTTCGATCACCTAGCATGTGAAATGACGTACTACCGAACAACAGCCGAATAGTGTTACACTTACACATGACCTCTCTTTAAGAATGGATTGCTATCGGCGCTGCCCTTCATATCCAGCTACGTAGCACAAAACATCAGCGGCGCATTAGCAGATTTCGCCATGTCGAGAGATTACCTGTCGAGAGTGTGGGTGCGCCGAATATGGACGGCTATAGGTAAGCAGAAATCTATTCGCAGAAACTCGCATCGTGTTTAAATCGGCAAACCCGACTAAGATCTGGAGATATTATGTAACCGCACAGTTATCATTGCGTTTCAACAACACGTGATGTGATGTGATGTGATGTGATGATCACATCACATCACATCACATCACATCACATCACATCACATCACATCNCAACGCAGGTTCGATCCGGTGGAGCGCATCCACGTTTATCGGAGTGAGCTACGCCGTAGGAGCAGGCGGCCGGGCGAGACGCCGGAAGAATTTGGCGCGGGCATGCGGAAGCTGTTTTCGCATTTCTTCCCGTAGGCTTGACACTGGATCTTGTTGCATTGCAGCTCGTATATAAGTGCCTCCACCTGGTGGCGGTTTTCTACGATTCACTGTTTCCCTTGTAACTGCCTCAAATTGTGCCACTCGAGTTACCGCCTCGTCTAGCGTGCTTGGTCCCTGCAAGAGTGCGTAGCGTTGTGTTTCGGCATCTCCTATCCCATCCAGGTACCTGTCTATTAAGATCTGCTCTGCCTGATGACCTATCATGCCAGGATAGGCCTGCGAGAATAGCTGCCGCATTCCCGCGCCAAATTCCTCCGGCGTCTCGCCCGGCCGCCTGCTCCTACGGCGTAGCTCACTCCGATAAACGTGGATGCGCTCCACCGGATCGAACCTGCGTTGCAGACAGCCAACCATCCTGTCATAGTCAGCACGCTGTGATCGTGGCATCTCTGTCATCACCTAACTGAATTCCCCATCCATCCTCCG